TAATAAATTTTGTGTACCATTCTATTTATGCAATAATAACGCTGGAAAAATTAATAATGATGGATTAAATATAATTGATGTTAGATTAGATCAAGATAAACCATGCATTGATTATTTAGAACAATGTTGTTCAATTGAAGATTCTAATAATAATGAATTACTAAATTCTGGAAAATCATTGCTGGCTCCAAATAGATGTGGATATAGAAATACTGAAGGTTTATTATTTAAAATCACTGGGAATAAGAATGGTGAAACCGAATATGCTGAATTTCCATGGATGATTGCAATTTTAAAACAAGAAAATGTTGGTGATGATATTTTAAGTATATATCAGTGTGGTGGATCATTAATACATCCATCAGTTGTGTTAACTGCTGCACATTGTGTTATAAAGAATGAACCAGAAGAATTGACGGTACGTGCTGGTGAATGGGATACACAAACAAAAGATGAATATTTTGATGAACAAGATCGTCATATAACAGAAATTATGGTACATGAACGTTTTTCAAGAGGTGCTCTGCATAATGATGTAGCCTTGTTATTCACTTTAACTCCTTTTATATTAGAACCGCACGTAAACACTATTTGTTTGCCACCACCGCATATGAATTTCGATTTTAGTCGTTGTTTTGCTACCGGTTGGGGTAAAGATTCATTTGGACAAGAAGGAAGATATCAAGTTATTTTGAAAAAAATTGAAATACCAATAGTTCCATTTAAAAAATGTCAGAGAACATTAAGAAAAACAAGACTTGGAATGTTTTTCAGATTACATGAATCATTTTTATGTGCTGGTGGTGAATTAGGAAGAGACACTTGCAGAGGTGATGGAGGTGGCCCATTAACTTGTCCAATTCAAGGTTCAAAAGATAGATTTTATCAGGTTGGTATTGTTGCCTGGGGTATCGGATGTGGTGATTTAAATCCAGGTGTTTATGCTAATGTCGCATTTTTACGTTCTTGGATAGATAAAATTTTTAATTTAAAAAATTTACAACAAGACTATTATACTCCAATATAACAAAGTGGTGAATAATTTAGTTGAGGTAAGAAGTAAGCAAAATGTTATATAATTACGATATAAATTATAAAGAAATAAGAATTTATTGTTTGAATGAAAATTTAGAAATTGTATATTGCTGTTTTAAAGTAAACTCGTTATATTAAAAATAATTTTTGGAGGCAATTTTTTTTTTAATTTCTTTAATTTTAAATGGAAACCCTTTCAATATTAATAATTGCCAACAAAATGCCCGAGCTTCATCTTTGCTAATTGATATGTTAAAAGTAAATAATGCGATCGAAAATTATGCTAAAGTAATCTAAGTAATAAGCAATTGAAACAGGACAAATTGATAGCATTTTTAGACATAGTAGTTTTCCTTATTAACTCTGTGAATTAAATAGAAAGCGTAAATAAGCCAATATAGCGTAACACTGAACTATGGGGCCTAATAACACTTTGGCAAAGGAAATGGGATCAGATATTTAATTTGTCGACAAATAATGTTGAGATCTAATAAGGACAAAATTGATAGGAAATCATAGAAAGTTTGATACAAGGAACATTTGAATAATGATGCGCTTTATTTATTTGGTATATTTTTTTGTGACAACACTTTATTTTTTTCACTTTCATTAAATCAAAAAAAAACTCCGGCTCCTTTCATTCTTTGTTTGATACAAAAAAAATAGTATGAAAATTGATTAATTATTACCAAAAGTTAAAAAATGTTCTAATGGTGATTAATAAATACACAATTTTTATAACATTTTTTGTGTTATAACAAAAAAAACCTTTAATTTATTAGCTGTACATTCATATTGTAAATCCATCATCTACATTTTATTTACGTATGTACGTGCATAAATGTATCTAGAGATAGAATTTAATTTATACGCGCTATACTCATTATTTTTAATTATTTATCGCAAAAACTTCATCAATAATAATAACACTGTTACCAATTTGTAACAAAAGTTACACATTAATACTAGTAACAGCGTAAATATTGCAAAAAAAAAATAAAATAAAAAAATTTAACCAAATATAAGAGGCTCATTAAAAATTCAGAATAAGCAACTAAGTTTTTTTTTTTTCTCTTTTTTCATTTACGAAAATATTTTTATTTTTTCCTCCTATTTTGTATACGTTTTATACGTATTGCGTTCACCACAAAATCAATATTCGTCCATTAAAAAAGTCTAATTAATAATTTTTTGAATGGGCTATTAATAAAGCCTAATTATACCCGATCATACTATATACATATACCTACATATATAGAACCAGACATATTAATCTACATAAAGTTCCCTTTAGTAATTCATAATTATTGTATGTTAATTCTTTCTGTGTTTTTTTTATTAACGTATTCAGCATGAACATTGCTTAATTTGCAGGACAATGTAAAAAATTTCATGTTTTTGTTACAATATAATATGCGTACTCGAGTATATAAGTCATTCTGGTTATACTCGTACATACATGCATAATCTATATACTAGCTATAATATATTATAAATATAAAATTTACACATATTTAATACCAATACAATAATTTACATTTGGGTTTCCCGATTGTTTACAATTTTTGAATATCAAATTTTAACTTTAATTAAGTAATTGGGTTAATTTTTTTTAAAAAATACAAGATGTTAGTCAAAACGTAAGTAAGTGCGGAGCTTACAGCAAGAAGGAAAATATTCAGTTCCGTTATTAAAAATAAATGGAAAGTAAATGAAAGTGTCATTTTGTGCAATTTTTCGTTTGGACAATGACATTTTTGCAATGCTTCGCTAATGTGGTAATTCTTTTGCCACATAATTTCTTTTTTCGTTCTCTTCATTTTCGATTCATTTGTTTTCTTACGATTATTTTCAAACTTGTCAAAATTCGTGTTTGAACTTTGAACAATTTTGTTTACGTTTTCCAGATTATAAAAAATTTGTAATTGATCTCGGGAAAGAAACGTCATGTATACTATGTATTTTTTACATTTTACAATAATAATGTACACAATATATAATTTGGACATTGTACGTAATTATTTCATCGACTGATTGAATTTTCGGATTAAGAGATTTCTGCTAAAGTCACATCAATAAATTTTTGTTTAAAATTTATTTGTGCACTGATTAAATCCTATTCAAATTTTGTTATAAAAATATTAAATCATTTTTTTTTTATTTTTATTTTTGTAAATTGAATGCATTTAAAAAATAATCGTATATGTATATAGCGAGTAAAACTATATACAAAGTTTGGGGGCTATCAAGATAAAAATGTTGGGTCAGTTTAATAACCTCAAAAAAAAAAGGTTAGTTGCTGTGCTGTAAGGAGAAATTTAATTTTTGAAATGCTGGCTTTATTAATTAATATAACACTCAGCCAATTTGATTTAACTGGGGTCATTCAAACTGCTTTTCTTTTATTGAATTGTTATGATTTTTATAGCAAATATATTTAAAGATTATTTTATATGTATGTCTTCTACTCAATATTTCTTTGCAAGTACATAATATAAACGTCTTTAAAATAATAAATTTCTCTCAAATAAAAACAACACACACATACATATATTTTAAATAGCTGGTTATTAGAAACTTTCAATTAAATTTTTGGTTCTTTACATAACACACCTATATACAACATAATGTAGTACATACACTTGTGGAAATAAAATAATCATGCTGTGCTAAAGACACTTCCAAAACATTTTATTTAAAAAAAACTGGAATGAGTAACCTCAGAACTTCCGAAATCAACTATCAAAATATAATCATCAACTAACCAATATTTTTCCACTTTGTGTTGATGTAATTTCGTGTAAAAATCAAAACAAGAGGCTACACCAATAACGGAATCAATAACTGATTTTAAATGTATGCACATATAAATATGTGTGTATATCATATTTTATAATAAACATGGCTGTACATATATTTGCTGTGCTATGGAAATATGAATTAAGTTTATACACTTGTAAATATTTTGTAGTTATTTTTTAATTTGGAAAGGTAAAAATTAATGAGATGAATTTTTTTTCTATATTGTATAATAATTTGCGAGTTAAGTTTAATTATTTATGTACATATACATATTATATTTGTTATATTGAATCATACCTATACAAACATTATTTGTGTATATATTATATACATATAGTATATAGTTAATGCATCGAGTAACAGTTGTTGACCATGCAACATAAATCAATAAAAATAATTTTAATAATGTTGTTTTATAGTTTTATCTTGTGTGTCATTAAATTTATATAGACAATGTAGTAACATAATTATAACACTATGATTTTAAAGTAAATTGGAATATTTTTAGATAAAACAGTACACTTTTAACTTACATTTCACGAAAAGAGCATGAAATACTCACATTAGATCTATGATTACGAGAAATTGACTTTTAAAGATTTTATACGAGACTTATAACGGTACGAAAGTTTTTTCGTAAAAAACATTTAAATAGAGCATTACAATATTCTCAAAAATTTATAAACGTTTAAGGAGTCTCATACATTTTCAACATGTTCATGCAGTTTTTTGAATTGTAATTTTAATATTTTTATTCAATGTGGAAAAACCCTTTAGATTTTATATGTATGTGTACATTGCAAAGCTACACGCGATCCCGGTTTTTGCTTCTCCTGTGTATGAGTTCAAAGGAGAATAAAAATTATTTCCAGTTCGCACATAACTGCCTTAAGTAATTTTAATAGACAAACGAAGTAGTACAATTTCTGATTCGCGAAACAAGTCCTTTTCTGTTGCTGATGCCAAAAATTATTTATATACATGTCAAACAACCAATTCCAGAAGAGAAAAGTACAAAAAATTATTGGGTTTGAAACTATTTTAATTTACTTTTTTCTATAGGTAATTAAGTTATAAAATATTTATTGCAAAATCCAAAAGAAATTATATTAAAAATTAAAAAAAACAATCTGGTAAAATATAATAAAAACGATCATACTTACTCTGACAGTTTCCAATTGGTGGCATTCGAAATCCTGATAAAGGATCAGCAGAAAAATGAAACGGTCGTTGCCCAAATGCAAAATGAAATTGTTGTTGTTGCCCTAGAAGAGATAACACTGTAACTTAAGTTCAATTTCTGTCCTCTTATTGTGTGTAAGTTTTATATATTTTATATATAAATTCATAAAATGGCTGAATACTGACAACAATTTTATAACCATGCCTAACGTAGACTAACTTTTTATAATATCAACTTAATACTAAAAATACTAAACTGATATTTGGAAGCAGCTCGAAACAGTTGCAAAAAATTACCTTATATATAAATCGTTTTTCTTTATATTTTTTATAAGAATTCTTTTAAGACAGCAGTGTGTTTAACGTGCTTAATATTTCTTCTTTCACTTCTTAAAGGCGTCTAAAATTTAAGGTAATTTTTAGGTTAGTATACGAACTTTTTTAAAAATTATTCTTTATTCCCCAGAACGTGTCCAACAAGATGTTGTAAATAAATAATTAATTTAATCAAGTTAAATTTTTCAAAACCATCAGGTAAATATTGGCTCAAATATCTATATTTTAACCTAAAGAGCTATATCATGTTTTAATTCACATTTCAAAAAATAGAAATGAATATCATTTAAAACTCTATAACACTCCTGACTTATATTAAAGTTTAAGAATTTTAAAAACTCTTTTAATATTTGTCAGAAAATTTATTTGGAAACACCCACCTTTTGCAGTTGGCTAATTAAAATATATATGTAAGTTACAACTCCTTAAATAACTGAAAAATATTTTTCATTTCTAACTTTAAAAACGATGAGCTTACAAAAGTAAAAGATCATAAATTTACATCTTTTAATTCCCAAATGTTTTTTATATTTTTAGGACCATGGACAACATGAATTCTGATCATTATTAAATTTTATATAAGTCTTATAAAAATTTAATGTTAAAAAATTAATGCAATTTTATTCATTTTAAATTTCCTAAACTTATATCTACACTTATACACTAACTAATAAAAATATAAAAATAAATATAGTTTGAAAAATAGTATAAAATAGTAAGTTGTATAAATTTTGTTTTTTTTTTTTTGAAAAAAGGACATAAATCTTCTTTAATTTAAACAATACAATTGAATATTTTATGTTCATAAATTTTTCAAAAAACTCTAAAACTTTTTTGTATTCATAGCTTTGTATTTCAATTAGAAAAATTTTCTCTAAGAATGGGTTTATATTATTAACAATCGTAAGGGACTATAAAGGGTTATCTTTAGAAAGGATCATACCCAAAAAAAAAGGAATATTAATTCACTATTTCATTGTATAACCATAAATAAATACCATTATTATAACTGAATATATTGTTATATTTTTTAAGATTTCCTTTATAATTTTATTGTATGCATTATTTTAATTTATTATACGTAATTTTATTGTCCCACACTCCAATATGAGAGAGAATGAATAAAATATAAAAGATTCCATTTTATTTTGAATTTTAACTTTTTAATTTATAAAAATATTTGATATACATATATTTTTTTAATAAGCATTTATATGCATATGTACACGTTTGAATAACAGACATACTCAAACCAATTTTTAAGGAGTTGCAGCTTTGAATGAATATCTCCCATCCAGTACGTATATGATTGAAGTTTATCAAGATTGTTGAATATTATTATTATTTTTAAACTTAAATATAGTTTAACTATTTAGAATTAGTAATTAATTTTGTTAGTACACAGAGTATAAAACAATTAGGTACTCTATCTATATTACTGAAATTTTTGTTCTCTTTTTCTAATTCATTGAATTTAAATCGTCTTTAATTCATTTACATACATAAATACGGTTAAAAATCCTGTATTATTTAAAGAGTCATAAAAATAATATTTTTAAGTTGAGACGTTGAAATTTACAACATAGCCATAGAATCTAACAGAATGAGAAGAATGGAAGTACTAACTAAGGATAGTTTGTGGGGATAGTAATATTTTACATTACAAGTAAGAGTTAACGCAATTAAAAAAAAAAAGTTGATACAACATTTGTCAACACGAACCGAACCAGTGACGTAATCAACTGCATTTGAGAATTATTATAAGAAACTATAATTAATTTATTCTTCTCAGCTTGACGAGAAACGTTACACAAAATTACAAAAATGATTCCTTTAAACTCATATTTGAAGTTCTATCAAAACTGATATCAATTTTTATTTAATTAAATAGATTCGACCGAAATCAAACAAATAATTTACATAATACTAATGTAAAAATCTAACAATAAGAGACCCTAAGAACTTGTGTAAGAGGTAGTAGAGTTAAGCTAGTTATTTATATTGTATTTGATTTTATATTGTAATGGCACCATTGCAGAAATTTTTAATTAACCAGCTTAATTCTAATTCTTAGATATTATTTTAAATATACAAATACGTGTGTAAATTTAAAATAATAAATAAAATTGCTTTTATGGAGGAAAGCTCTTAGAGCAAAGCAAATTTAGTATTTTCTTTATTGCACAAATTTTCATATAATAAAGTTGGGTCAAACCAATGGTTTGTATTATGTAGCACTTTTCCCTTCAACAAGTGAAAATACTGCTTTTAAAAACAATCTATGTATATCCACCACACTATTAAAATTATTTTCATTCATAAACGAAACTATTTCTAGGATTGCATATATTTAGGATGAACGATTTATGCAGTCTTTGAAATAGATAAAAATTAATATAAAGAGGGGTTAACATAATGCTCGATTTTAAGGGTTAATTGTGTGAGTTAAGCAAAATAATTATATTTTTTAATGTCATGGAATTTACCGCTAGCTTTTTGCGTTTATAGAAATTTGAAAAAGCTTGCGGTTTCGGAAATATAAGGTGTCAAAAATTCAAATTTTACGAATTTCAAGAGGCGATAACTTGAGAGGGGGTGGAGATGGAAAAAAATTTTCTTCTAACGAAATGAACTATTTGTTAATGTCTAAAAGCCCCTTAAATTTCAAGCTTCTACAGGCTGGGGTATAGGAGAAAAACGACATCAAAAATTTGGAAAAAAGGACTTTAGATAACGGTAAATTTGAACGGCCATTTTGTTTTTCTAAAGTTTAACTATAGTATACCGCGCTAGGGAAAGCAAGCCGCTGCCTTTTTGCATTTGCAAAATTTCAAAAATGCTTATGGTTTTATTGCAACAAATAGTTAAAGTGGGCCATTTTTAAGGTTTTGAGGGGGTATAACTTTTAGAGGGGGGGAGATAGGTGTAAATTTTGTTCTACGAAAATAAGTTTCTAGTAAAGATCTATGCACGTATTAAATTTCAACTTTCTATCTTTAAGAATGTAGAAGTTTTGTAAACAGACACACGGACAGACGGACGAACGGACGGACGGACGGACGGACAGAGTGAAACTAATAGGCACTTTTTTCAAGAAATTTTTGGAAAAGTGCTAAAAATAAGCAATTTATTGTGATACCATAATATGCTCACACTTATATAGGTATATGTTATTATTTCTTATTAAACAAAATGTCCGATTGATTCAATATTCTAAAATTCTAATGAATAGTATATTTAATTAACATTTTCAATATAATTGAAATATCAGTGTATAAAAGACTCAAAAGGATATCTACATGTACATAACTATATAGTGTATGTAGTAGAAAATTAATATAAATTTTCTATATAGAAGGATAATAAATATATTATGTGCACCTAAACACAAACACTAAATTTATTGTATATTTATTATACACAATAAAGGTATTAAACGCCTAAATCTTATACTTTCTCAATTACAAAATTGTTGTTATAACAACAGTTGTATTCTAATATATACACATGTACATAGTATAGTGTGATATATGCCCATAAATATAAATTATAATATTATTTATTATTAAAGAGATTTAATGAATATCATTGGAGAATTGTCATTCAATATGATTTACAAAGGATATAAAATGTCCTTTAAGAAATTAAAACTAATAATGTTGACCAATTAAAGGTATAAATTTACATGATTGGTTAAAATTAAATATTACATAATATTTATATAATCCCGAAGGATATTTTCTATAATAAAATAGAGGTATAGAGTAATATATTTGTTTTGTTTAGAAATGTTGAAGAATTTAATATTTTAAGGGAATAACAGTAAACTTACTTGTTTTTGATCTTGGCTCTCTTGGTCCATCAACTGTTACTTTTATAGCTTTATTATATGTTGCAACTAGGGGTGGTATTGTTGATACTGTGATTGTCAATGTAAAACTTTTACCTGAAACAAAAAAAATAAATATAAATTGCAATTTTTATCTTGTTTATGGAACACAAAATCATATAATTGTATAATCCAGTATAAATATGTATAGTTCCTGCAAATCTAGACGAAAATTCGAAAATAATAAATTTCAGACCCGCAAACGCATATTATTATGTATTTGCCTTTATTATTTAAATAAGGCTTACGTTATTAAGAAAAATCCATTAAATATGAAAAAAAATTTTATTTTTGCATTACGTTGCAGGCCCAATTTGCATCATTGAGTATAGCTTGCATGATGTAAACTTTTGATTCAGTCTATTTACAAATGAAAATTTGAATTTTTGATTTCGCCATTTAAGGGTGGAATTTAGAATCATTCTGGGCGAAATCATAAGAAAATGTATAAGAAAAAAGAGATTGTTCCAATAAAAAGTTGCTTAGTTGCTTTCTTGTTGTTAGGGTTCAGATAGACATGTAATTTTTAGTTTTGCAACTGTTTGATTGTTTATTTGTATAAAAAAGTTTTGTATTCAAGCATACGCATACATGCAACAATATGATCACATGCAATTAAGCTATCAAACAGTTTGTAATTTTTTCCAAACTGTTTGATAGCTTAAATATTAGATGCGTAGATGTGCCCGCAACGATTTTACAATCAAGCAACAGATTGCAAAACTGAAAATTGCAGTATGCCTGAGTTCTTAATACTAATTTTAATTTAAATAATAAGCATTCTAATAAAATAAGAATTCCTAAATTTGAAATGTAGTCAGTATATACAAGTATCTTATCATTGATTTTCATTTCCAGAGTCAATTAATATCTTGGAAATCTTTTAAAAAAACATTAAACATTTTTATAACAAAAACCAATTTAATACTAATTTAAAGTTTCTCGTTATCACAACTTTGATTTTCTTTTTAAATTTTTTTTAAAAAATAAAGAATTAAAATGACGGATTAATTGAGAATGAATTAAAAATAAATTTGTTTGCTAATAAATAATATTATAAAAGTATAGCTACACGTGCATTAAAAAATAAATTTAACAATAAAGTTGTTAGACGTTACACCTAAACAATATTTTTTTTCTCTTATTTATTCACTTAAAAGCAATCAAACCATATCAACCACTTGAATGTAAATCACCTCAAACCAAACTTTAATCTGTAAATCATCATACATACATTCTTTTTAATGTCTATACAAACACATAATTATTTGTTACATAAGGTGTATGAGTCTGTAATGTACATCCACATACACGACTACCAACATAAATATTGCGTATTAAATAAGATAAAAGTTAGCAAATAGAATTAAGTAAAGGTAAGAAGGTTTTTTTAAAAAAACAATGTTAATTCTTTTGTTTTATAAAATGATAATTAAAATTAAATCATGATAAACAATCATACAGTTTGAATGAAGCTACGTGAAATATAATAAAATTAAATATGGCCTAGTCAAACAAAATTTCGAAAATTTATTAAAGAAATTTCGTACAATATATTGAAGAATTCGTATTTATTTATACGCACACAAGGGTTAAGAGCCTCTTAAATTAAGCAAGATCTTGAAAATTTTGTTAAGTTTTTCCATGATTTTCCATGAAGCAATTTAAAAACAATATCTAAACAAGATTAGGGGTTTCCCTTTGTTGAGTTTAAATACGACCTAGTAAGTTGCAGTGTGTTTTTTTTTGTTGCAGTTTAGTGGTTGCAGTTTTTTGGTTGCAGTTTCACATTTTTTGTAGTTTCAGTGGTTGTAGTTAATTTTACATTGCAGATTTATTTAAAAAACAAAAGTGTTTACTGTTCAGTTAGAAGAAATTTGTGTCATAAGATCAACTTGCAAAATGAGTCTCATTGAGAATTGGTACAAAGTTAGCCTCATCAATATCATGTCTATTATATTTGCAAGATATAGTTCTAATGCGTAATAAATTCATCTTTTATTAGATAATTGAACAAAGCTTGTATCTAGCACTTGAACGCGCTTATACCTAATTACTTTGAGCTTTTGTGTTCTTAGCTAACACCGTAGTTTTTTAAATTTGCTCATTTGATTCATGTACTTATAAAAGAGATCAGTTATTAGGGCGTAAATATTCTCTACTGAAAAAATGACCAAATTTTTAATCACAAAATTATTTTTTCTCTAGATCTTTTTTCATGTGATCAAAATCACAAAAAAAAAGTTTTAAATCCAATTCTCAAAAAAAAAGGAACAAGAAAAGGATAATAAGAATTTACAAAGTTGACTTTTACAAATTCCCGCACCTTAAAACAAAAACACAAAAAAAAATTTAACCTATCCGAAAAAGGAATTCTCATTCTTTTTCCCTTTATCCTCCACATTCTATCCATCTCATATTTAAATGTAAAGGAAACACAAAAAATAAATATGGTAAAAGATAAAAAATTTTTCTTAAAAAGGATAACATATTCAATATTTTGTTTTTTTTTTTGCTACTGTCTTCAAATTTTTGATTCATTCATGCCATACGTGCATATATGAAGGCTTTTTAACATTATAAAACAAAACTCTTTTTTCCTGGCAACTCATTCCACTTAAAAATTTGTTCATATGAAATTTTAAATTGTTTTCACTTATAAGACTCTATAAAATTTTGAAAGTCTTTCCTATTGAAAAATTAAATGTGTAATTGTAATAACGCATGTGATTGTTAAAATAAGAAGAAAAAATCCTTTTTGTGTTTTTCTTCTTGTTTATTTTAATTTATTCATTTAGCAACACAACATATTATACTGATGATGAAGAGGTTTAAATGTGAATCTAAGGTGATTTATTAAAGGAAATGCAAATAATTAACAGAAAAAAAGTTGAAATGAAAAAGAAAAAGGATTTTCTTTTTTTATCGTTTTGAATTTGAATATGTAAAATGTTTCTTTTTTGTTACATCTTTTGTTTTTATTCAAAGTTGATTATGGTGTCTTGTTTAAGTGAGTTATTTATATTTTTTGTAGGCATGTTAACTGTCTCCATGGTATAATTTAAAATTTTTGAAAGAAATGAGAAGACAGAATTAGAGGAAGAATAAATAATTTTTTGTAAAACAAAAAAAGAAAAAGGACTAAATTATTTTTTGTTTCTTATTTTCTAAATTTCTTTTTACAATAAGATTGCAAATGAAAGAATAAATTAATTACCTTATAATGTTTTTTATACCAAATTTTATATGTTATGCTTAATGTTAAAATAATCAAGTTATTCTAAACATGCTCATATGACTGACTCATAAAAATATGTTAGAAAGGTAATATTATTGTACAAATGTATAGTAGGCATAGAAAGCGTCAGGCATTTTAATTTTAAAGAAAATATGAAATTTATTTTAGAATAAATTATGACCTTATGAAAAAAATTCTGTTTTCTTTACGACAACTGTCGGCAAATTTATGTGGTTTATGGGCAAACAGTACTATGTGAGTATGAGTATGGGTCACATGAGTTTTTTTAAACCTACCTATATGAAGAAGTTAAATTTTCAACTGACTTTATTGAATGTTTTGTTTTAATAAAGAATAAATTTGTATGGAATTTTGTGTACATACTTATATTATATGAGGGGCTCAGAAGCCAAGTGGCCGAACCATCATTCCCAAATTTTTTGCTTTTTTGCTGAAAATGTGTATAAAATTAGATCCCAAATTTAATTTTATCGACAAAAAAATCAAACATTTCCTATATTCTGTAATTTTTTGGCCTAAACGCAAAATTTAATTTTTTCCAATGCAAAAGTAGCCTAACCCACATATTGTGGCCAAAATTTTGGGAGTTAAGGTTAGGTCACTTTGCTTCTGAGCTCCCCATCTATGATTCAGTTCTTAAAATTTTGAAAAAATTTTTCAAATTTTAATGATCACAATCGAATATACATATGTACATATTTTTTTGTGTAAGAAAAATTATGGGCCCAATTTTGAAGTTGAATGGGCCGCATTTTCCCGACGGCTGCTTTATGGCATTCTTAAATTATTTTAACTTAAGAAAGTTCTGTGAATGCAGTTCTATAAAATTTACAAGTTGATCAATATTTCATTAACATTTTTGTTTACATTAGTGACATAAGTCGGTGAAATAAAATCTATTTAAAGTTGCACAAATCGCTTGAAAAAGTATTTAGGATGATTTAGTAGGGTTGTGACAGATTCAGTCCACTTATGGGCATTTTTTTAGTATATTATACAAAAATATTAAAAAACAGATGCAGTATAACACTCCGATTTGAAGTTGCCATTTCGTATGTATTACCAAAGCAAAACAAAAAGGAGAAACAATAGAATTGACTCTATCATTATTTCTATGTCATTCAACGGTTATATGATAAATAACAAGTGTTTCATAAAGGTCTAGTTAATATTTTAGTAGAAATATTGTCCTGGTATACTAAACATGCTCCAGTGAAATTTAACCAATGTTGCTTAAAAAAATTTTTAAGATAACTATATCTGAGTAATTTTTGAACTTGCCGGTTGAAATTTTTGAATGACCTGATAATTCTTGAATTTGTTTGATGTCTACTCACTATACCAAACTTATATAATATGAAAAATTTAGTGAATGTGTATAGACTTTTAGAGATTTTAAAGTTTATTAATGACTTTGTTATTATAATAAATATTTTTAAAAACAATTAATGATTTAATTATTTTTGGTATTCCATAGCAGCTCCTCGAACCTTTGCTATGATTGAATCTAAAGTAAATATGATAGTAATAACAATTCTTCGTGCAGTGTAATAATTTGGTTATCCTGGCTCAATGGCTTTTTTAGTTATCGTAGAGGCAGACGGACAGGCATAATTTGGTTGATTTTAAATTCGTATCTGTATCCCGGACCTCCATTTCTTAGCTTTACAAACGGAATATTAAAAAATAAAACAATAATGTTATAAACAATTCTTTTACTTGTTGAACTGATGACGGAATATACTGAATTGCTAACACAAAGTGTAGTTGTTTTTAATTAATAATTAATGTGCCTGTT